TCAATATGTATATATACCTATTATTTAAGCCAAACCGAGAAACTCATATTTTTATTCCCGTTTCTAAATAATCTCATTTGAAAATATTCAAAATATTACACAGAGTCTTGGGAACTAAATTAAATTATAGTATTTTACAACATATTATCCCTGTGCCAGTTGCCTTAAAATTTCGAGTTTTATCTATATATTTTTACGTCTCTAAATGTCATTCGGAAACACACGCCCAGCCCAATTAGCCTTTTCGCTTATCCTGGCCTTTCCCTTAACCACTCCTCACAATTAGCTTAAATATTCTGATGTAGCCTTGAACTTGTATCGCTTTCGGTTATTCGCACCCATTAATTATTTATGAGTTTCTGTGGCTAACACATATGCCAAGGGTAACGATAAGAATTTTGGCCATAAATTATGCTGCTGCCAAAACACGAAAGGTCATCCAATGATAGAGGCCAAACTTTTGGTTAAATATTATGGACGAACGGCTAAAAGTTTTTGGGTTGAGCAGCTCTTAACTCAAACAAATTTGACCCCGAGGTGTAAAAAGGCATACATATGTTATATATACGAGTTTGATATGAACTTTCTTATGTCTGATTAAGATGTAATCCCTCCAGTTCGATTTGACCTTTAAACACTATAATTTGACCAGATCTATTAAAGATTAATGGTAAATATTTTTGCCGGCAGCCACAACTCGCTTATTAAACCCGCATCTTGCTGGCGGTTTCTTATTTACTGCCTGTCTAGTCTGAACAAAAATATGCGAAACAAGCCGGCAACTCAAAGAGAACATTCTGCTGGGCTGATGCCGAAAAAGTTCCTGCCAAGAACAACATCATTAAATCAATATTAAATGAGCAAAGTTTGAAATTTAAATTTCATCAGCCTTGAAGTTAACTAAATGATCACAACTCATATGCGAAGGAGGAAGGGCAGGGGAATGCCTCGTTACAACTTGGCCAAAGTTCAACGGGTGGCTGGTCTTGCAACCAAATTAAGTTGCCATGGCCCAAGTGTGTGCTTGACAAAAAGTTTGCCACTGCACTATATGCTTGTCCTGCGTAATTCAAGATATTAATTAAGGGTCAAGTCGTATGCAACAAGGGTTCTCCAAAAGAGGCCATCAAAGTTTTCAGGGATAAGAACCAAAAATAAGTTGCAAAGATCCAAAAAGGATACAAGATGCAAATGTAATTATGTTTTAAATTATGCATTTTCTTATAAGGGTAATACCAAAAATATCATTGTTTTTAGGGCTTTATATTATTTGGTATTTTATTTAAGTAAATTTAGTTTAGTTTAGTCATATTATCAAAAGAATAAATATTATTTAAATCAATATTATGCTGCTTTACTTCACCCAATTTCATGTATTTATTCCTTTGCCAGCTTTAAACTACCCCTACGAAATGATCTCAGCTGCCACGCGGAATGGCATTATTATCACAACAGACTATCAATTACTTTAAGAAAATAATTAAAGCTCCGTGACATTTTTCCGATTTTCGCCAGCCGCACACATCTTGGGCGGATTCAACAGCCAGCCGCCGGCTCAATTACAGCCCAAACCCAGCCCGGCCCGAGAGTCCAGACCAGACCAGGCCAAACCAGACCAGACCAGGCCAGACCCGGCCCAACCAGGCCGTTGACGTTGCCAGAAAACAAGCAACTGATCAATTATTCAAACAGCATCGAACTGGGTCATGTCGAACAGCTTGAAGCCGAAGCTGAAGCTGATGCTGATGCTGATGCTGATGCTGATGCTGATGCTGATGCTGAGGCTCTTCTCGGCTGAGTTCGCATCCGATTGCGATGCCACCCCAGAAAAGTGCCAAGGGACATGTCGTGTTGTTGGTGGGGGGAGGGAGGAAAGTCTCAAGGAATGAAATTTCTGCTGATTGAATTGAATTTGGCCAAGGTCGGAATGATTTTGGTATTTCGTATTCGAACTGTAATTAAATTTTCTCTCAAATCTTTGCATGGAAATATTGGTATTCGCCCGGTGGTGGCCGTTGAACAATTAAGAGGGCTTCGCATCCTGTCTGGGCCACCGGCCGCTAACTGGACAGGCGGATAAATGGAGCGGACGGCGGCCTCAATGGCAAATTAAATAACGTGCCCAAAGTTTGTACAATTGATGCGATTTCACGCAACGCAGCCCCCGAGGGTTAGGCGATTGCCAGCTGCCTCCTGAAAACAAAAAAAAAATACAAAAAACAGAGCCTAAAGAGGAAAAATAGAAAATGCTCTAAAAAAGAAAGCACAACTTTGTGCCGCGACACGATGTCATTGAATGAACATTGAAGGCGAGCCCAAAAAAATCTATATGTATATAAGAAAAAGCGAAATTGAACGCAGGAAAAAAAAGGAAAAGCCCGTGTAAGAAAATATTTGGTAAACGATGAAATTAAATGAACCGAAACTGCAAAAGAAAATAATCGAAAAAGGAAGAAAAACCTAGTGGAAATCAGAGCTTAAATGGTAAATATATATGAATACTAGTCGATGGCCAACAAATATCGATTTCAGACTAAAGTTCAGCTATAAATTTGGGAAATGTATTTAAACTTTAAAGCAAATAGAATACGGAAATGTATTTATTTATTCAACTGAAATTATTGAAGATTTAAAAATGAAATTTGATTTTAAAATAATAACTATTTAAAGCATATAAAGCAATTCAGATGTAAGGAAAATAAAAATATATAAAGAATACAAATACATGCCACCACAATTTGTTATTATTTTTAATTAAAACTAAGTGCCATTTTATATTATTATTATTTGCTTTTTTATACTTTATACTTTATACTTTATGCTCTATGCCTAAATTGTGGAAAAGAAAAACACTGTTGTATTCTTTTGAGAGCAGTCCACAAATACAATCTGTTTTGCTATACAAAGCCTGCCATGGAAAATAATAGCAAAGCAAACAGGGCGGAATGGCCCCCGGGGGCGGGTACGTTGATGCGTTAAATTTAAACAAATAAACAGCAGCAGACCCAAATAAAAATCGTTTGCAGGCACTGCCCAAATTGACAAACACGACAACCTGAGCCACTCGCAATGTGTGTTCTATGCTCAGGCTCAGGTATGCGATTCTATAGATAGGAATATATATATATATGTATATATGTTTATATGTTTTTATAGAGCAGAACATAAAACGCGACTGTGGCAGCGACGAAATGTGTGCTTCTGGGTCAAAGACACGGGCGGCTAAGCAAACAAACCAACGAACTCACAGACAGATGTAATGGAACGGCCTAGACAAGGACTTGCATAATTTAAATGTAGATATGCGGTTTGGTTAGCGCCTGGAGGTGTGCCACACCCACATTAACACACTTGAGTATAGTGAAAAGAAAATCAAGAAAATATACAATATATAGAAGGATACAAATTAATTAGCTTTTATAAACACATCCCAAATTAAGAAGGAAATAACTCTTTGAAGACATTGAATTCCATTACAACTTTTATATATTTTATTAATAATTAATTTGTTCCACATTTAATATGATTCATTAAAATATATATATATATATATATGATCTAAAAATAACTGCAAGATATATTACAAAATAAGTGGGTAAGAAGTAGCACATATTTTTATTAGAATTCCTTTTTCTCCAGTGTGACCATCAACACAGTAGTTGGCGAAAAGGAAACAGCCACTCAAACTGTTTTTGCGGGCGCCATCTGCTAGATCCTTTGGCTTAGAGCTTAGCAGATTGTCTCTCCGTCCCTTTCGGACGTTGTACTCGCTATCTCTCTCTCTCGCTCTCTGCGTGTTGATAATGAGCCATTCCGCAAAGATGTAAGTGTTAGTGGGCGGATGCTTATCGCATATGTGTGCTTGCGCATATGTATGAATGCTGTGTGGGCCGCAAGAATTTATAGCCTACTTTATGGCTTACTAATGAACTTTCAACTCTGCGCCGAGACTAGCAGCTTTCCCGAAGTACATACCGCCTTTATATACATACGTATGTTCATGGACCTTTAGTTAACCCACTAATGGATTTCACATACACCTCCATTCGACGACCTTGAAATACTTTAAAGTTTAGGGGTGAATCGATAAGGAAATCAATTTGTTTGCTGGCAGGAAGGACGTTTATCTATCGCAGCAAGTGGAACACATTTCAATGTTCTTCTGCTTTTCACAGTTTTTTTCTTTTCTTTTTCTTTTTATTTGTTACTCCTTCAGTTGTCCAGCCTCCATAAATCGCTCAAACATGGCAAGCAAAGTAAAACAAATTGAAAGGGGGCGACACGAAAAACAGAATGCAAACAGAACAAAAAACTAGGGAAATGGAAATGAAAAGCTCACAAAATGGAGTCGTAAAGCAAATGGAGCGGACACGCATACCCATACACACACACACACACCCACAGAGAGAGGCACAGAAAAAGGCATTTGCTTCCTGTTAGCCATGTGCATGCATATGCACGCATATTTATGATGCACCGTCACGCCCACCAAAAAAATGAAAACGAAAAAAAAGGTCAGTGGTTATCCTATGGAAATCGGGCTGATTTCATTGCACAAGTAAGTTGAATTTGTTTTCAAATTTAAAGCGATAAAATAATGGAAATGGAGAAGTAAAAGAAACTAGATATTATTATTAATCTATTATAATTATAGATTTTTATTATACGCAGGAAAGCTTTACGAATTTAAGTTAATGCTTTTTTGACTAAGTTTTTAATTTTTGTATAAATTTATTCTAAACAGATTTTTGAAATAATTGATGTCATACATTTTTCGTTGTGTAGAATAAATAACAAAGAGTTTAAAGACCGCCACCCGCTGCACTCTTCCTGTTTATTAAAGTGCCAAAAGAGTACGAACTTAGAACGATAGCTTATCAATTCATACATCTATACCGAATATAAAAGAAACACAAACTGTTGATAAGCCCATATATTGCTCTCTGCCTGTTAGTCAGAGCTATACATTCGCTTGAATAGGTCGTGCCATAGCAAAAACCATGAGCGATAGTGCCAGTTCCGGTGGAACAAACATTTTGAGCTTGAACTCCTTTTGTTTGTATAATATATTTCGTCGGATCAAAATAAATTGTGAGAGAGCACATCGCGTCAAGGATACCTTGGGGAAGTACCTGGATCTCGTGAATTTTGCCCTCAGTTGCAATATCTTGACCAAATCATTCAGCGAATGGAACCCCGAACTGTTCGAAAAGCTGAATATGGCGCTGGACTTCTCGAGTAGAGCCCCACTGATAAATGTGAACTTATCGAATCTATACAAGTTCATGCACAACCAGTCCATGAATGAACAGAAGTTATTCTGGTCCGCTTACCTGAATGGCATCAGGGAGAACGATGAGTTGGAATCGGTGAAAGTGACTTACAAGCCAGCGCAGTACTATCCCGAACACCTGGATAGGTTTGAGGCTTTGCTGAATGTTCTGAAGGAGAAAAACACTTTGCGGGAGCTACACATTATAATTAAGGGTACGTAGATGCCAACATTATTTCTTTTTGAGTGGAAATAGTCGTTGCCTTATAGGCTACAGCTTGTGGAATGTGGGAATCGAAGGACTGCAGACCTTGCATGTGGATGCCCGAATGGATGTGAATGACCTGATCCAGTTGTTGCAAAAGAGTCCTAACTTACGCCGACTTAAATTAACCAGTGCTGAACTATCTGGAAGATTGTCTGACATCGTTCCGTATTGCAATCAACTCGAATACCTCACAATTTCAATGAAGAATGATCTAGATGCCGCGCAGTATGCACCTTTTGCCCATTTGCCTCTACTGAAGGACTTGACTCTCCTGGGGGTACCTGAGGAGGGTTCCCTGCTGAAGCTTTTTCAAGGCCTTAAAGAAACCCTAATCCAGCATATAAGCATTCCAAACGTATATATTACTACCGAAGAGCATCATGCGCTGTCAGAGATTTTATCATTGACTTCAGTCAAATATTGCCCCAGAGATTCATCCCTTACTCTAAAGCCTTTTGTGAATTTGAAAAAAACCTACCATTTATTTCGCCCTCAAAAAAACGGTTTCAGATGGATGATACGGTACATTACCGCATCCGTGGATTGGTCAGTACAAAGAGAATCAATTCACTTGAATTTGCAACTGAAGTTGGTTTGTTCTTTGGTGAACAAAATTCATTAGAGTGGTATGGCTTCTTACATTCTTATCAATTTTACGTAGAGGGTTGGATTACGATTGATGATATAGGCTTATTACCCGAAACTTATTCCAAAAATGCTTATTTGGAAGTTTCCAAATTAGAACTATCCAAGGACATGCCAATTACCCAAAAAGAAATTGACACCTTGGCTGCCTATCCTTCCATAACCTACATCCGATGCTACTTGCATCAATTGGAGCAGATGATCGCAGTGAAAGTACATCATCTCAATGGCTTCAACGCTGAAAGAAGGCGACTAGATCGAATCCGAACCGAGCAATGCGAAGTTCGTATGATCAATCTAAACCATCCCGACTGGACTGCCGTTCTAGACATTTTCGAAAAACATGATGTGTCTATAAATGTCCAAATTTTTACACCTTTGATTAATTTAAGGAACCTAACGAGTCTTGTGATCTCGAGAATCTCCGTATCTTTAAGGGAACTTTTTAAAAACTTTGCCTCGATGAAAACACACATTCTGGAGGATTTGCGAGTCGGATTCCTTAGTCCCGAAGAAGTGGTTGAGGTAGCCAAAATTCGTAGCCTGAAAGAACTCGAGTGCAGTTTCTTTTGTTCCAGATCCCTCGAACATCTAGCCACGATGAATCAGCTTGAGTTGCTCACCATAAACGTTCATCCTCAGGGGCGATTGAGAGGTCTATTCAAAGCTCTGGCCTCTAGGCAGGATCAACCACTAAGGTGTCTCTCAATTGAGAGGACGAGACTTACTTTCGAAGAGGTTGACGACCTAGCAAACGTTAAATCCTTGGTGATTTTACTACTGGGATTACCAGATAAACAGGAATGGCAACACTCACTGGGATATAAGCCTGGAAGCCAATATCAATACGTTCGCTATTGTCAAAAGTGCAAATTGCCTACAAGGGGCTCCGATCATATAGAGCACAGCATTCATACCAAGGCCCTGCCCTTTCTTCCATATGAAGCTGGCTTTGACATTCAGGTTAAATTCCTTACCGAATTGTATGAGACTTCAACTCCCTTTAATCTAAACCTATTGGCCAAGCTTCCAATATTGCGGTATTTGAGTACATTTGGATACTCACAAAAAGTTGTGGAGAATCTGGTTAGGACTCTAGCCTCAGAAGACCCGCAAAAAATGCGCAAAATAACATTTGGCTCTCAAGACTTTAAGCTTATTTCTCAATTCGAAGAATTGCAATATCTGGACACTTTTTTTTACCATATCAATGACATTGACAGTTTCGGCCTCCTAAGTAATCTAAAGGAGCTGTGTTTGAACAATCCCCACGAAACAGATATGTATCCGATTCTAACAAAACTCAAAGAACTACCTTATTTAGAGAACTTGATTGTGAACGGCAAAGATCTGAATAACTATGAAATTGTAGAGGTAGTTTGTATAAAAACCCTAAAACTACTTACTGTAGGCATTGCTTCGAATGAATGGCTTAAATATCTAATGTTAGCAAAGGGGCTGGAGAATCTAATTATAACTTCAACTCACTATGCAAACGAAAATGAGGTTGACTACATTAACTATATTTGTATGAAATGCACCAAATTGAAATCGTTTACCCTTCATCGATATTATGGATATTTAACGAAAAAGAAAGTGGGGGAACTCTTGGAAACTCTCAAATCGGTTCGTGATCCTCCTAATTATCCCAATTTACTGCTACGAGGCATATGGGTGGACTTCGAGCGCCTGCGTCAGGTAAACTTTAAGGTCGGGGACTCCCCAAACACAATCATTAACAATTTCTATCATTTTTTAGGTGTACCACTATAACGAAACGTATTTAGAGCTGGAGTCACTCACCGCTGTTGGATATCTAAGCAGTGACGAATCCGAAGAATCCGATAGTGATATAGATAACACACTTGAATGAAATGAAATTACTGTTAAAATATATCATAATATATTGACAGATTTACATATGAATTTATATAAATAGGAATAGAGAATAGAGCAGATATTTTAAATATATAATAATTTGCAACTGCCCTTGATTGTAATCGTAATCCTCTATGTGATTCTAAACTACTTCAAAAACATCATATTAAAGATAAATGCTTTTGAAATACCCAGCTCGGGCTTAGCTAAATAGGAAATAATGACATTTAATTAACAAATAAAAAAAATAATAATAATGAAAGAAAGAAAAGCCAATATATATGATTTAATTGTCATTGTTAAGACTTACCACAGTGGAGGACACACGGTTATCCTTTTTTGTTATTGCTTATTTCCTTCCAGTGTAGTAGACTTCAATTAGGCATTTTATTATCGAAGTGAGCTTCTTCCTCGTTATGCAGATGTATGACATTGTTCAGGTAATAATTTTGGGGTCGAAAAGCACTCACTATCACTTTCACTAGAGATGTAAACACCACGTACCCCACGGACAGACTGAGGCCACCGCGAAAGCAGCGCCTGTATTTATACCTCCGGAGCAAAGAGAGCAGAGAAAGTGAGAGCGATGTAGAAAGAGCTATCTCTTGAGATAACATAGGCAGAGAGAGAGATAGAGTCCAAGTGATATCTCTAGAGATTCACTGAGAGAGGGAGAGGAAGAGAGAGCCAGAGAGATTGAGTTACTAATTTGTTTTCTGCCAGCTATATGATATAGTCGTTCGATCCGACTTACATGTTATATGGTCGGAAATTACTGCTTCACATCGTTGCAAACTTCCGACTAAAATTATAACCCCCTGCATAAAAAACAAAATAAAATAACTCAAAGTAGCCATGAATCAGAAAAAACAAAAAATAATAAATTAATTGAAGCTTGTCAATGTTGAAGAGCCCGGCGCAGATGAAATTGTCGACTCATTAAAAGGCAATTTCTCTCCATTATATGGGTCCTACCTCCCCCCGCACAGGACCCTGTATGACCGACCGGCAGACAGGAGGCGGACTGAAAACATCACGAGCCAAGAATCGAAACAAAACGAAACGAAAAGCAAACAAGCTAAAGACAAACACTCATGGGCTCTGTTTCACTTTACTCTTAGACCAAAAATCGATAGCGGGCAAATTTTTATTTATAGTCCCTGGAAAACCCCCATTTTCCACTCGTCCTTTCTCCTCACTCCGTTCCATGTTCTTCTTTATTTTGTCCTGAACTGGCCAAGGGGCAAGCATTTGCCATTTCTTGCTCCGCCTGCGGGCGAGTTTTTCATTTGACTTGGCTTGCAGTTCAAAGGCTCACCATCGGCTCCTGATTCCATTTCGAGGTCAGCACGACCACCACCACCGCCGCTGCTGCCTTGTCCTGTCAAGTGCCACTTAGACTCGTGTGTGTGTGTGAGTGTGTGTGCTGCCTGTCAGAGGTCCTTTCTTCGTTCTCCATTTTTTTTAGCACAAGAAAGGCAAGAAAAATCGAGCATTAAGTCGATAACTGGGCGATTAGTTAAGTTTTTATGTCGGCAGGCTGAAAGTTTGATGGCAGGACCGCCTCCTGTCAATATTCATTTATTACTTGTCCGAAAGTAAAGAAATACAAAACAAACCGGGTAGAAAAAGACCAAGAAGACAAACTTTCGGCCCAAAGAAAAGCAGTTTGTCAAGAGAAGAGCCATGGGAAATTCCTTGCTCCTTTGCTCAATTCACAGGCAAAAACGATGTAAATAGGCTAGCGAAAAAGTGTTGCCGAATCAATCAGTAAAAACATCACAAGGATTCTGGGGTTTCCTCAACAGGCCTTCCTTCAAATAAATGTTTGTAAAAAAAATAAAGGGGAGAAAAAAATACATAAAAGTTCAGCTACCCTTGGCACTGAGCCGAATTTATTCGCTTTACAAATCCGGCCAGCATGAGGCAATGAAAAATAAATAAATTTCCCTCACTGGGGGCAGTCCCACAAGAGGGCACCGCACTATTCCACTCGGGATATGGCCCATATTTGGCTTGGCCAACATGTAATACACTCAATTAGGCCAATTCCGTGCACCATATTTATGGCCTCAAATATTTTTATGCCACAAAAAAGGAATCGCTGCGAGACTGGTCACCGCCATAAACTATAGGGGAGAGAGCATTCTTGCAACACTCGAAGGGCCATAAAAATCGAAGCCATATAAATGAGAGGAAGTGGCAAAAGAAAATACAAATAAATATGGTCAGACAAATTCCAAACTCCTGCTGCTCCTGCTCCCATTTCAGATCCCCTGCTGCAGTGTCGAGTGTCCTCCACTTGGACAAACTGATTAATTGCCACTTGACGAGAGCCAGGACAACAGGGAAGATCCTGGCAGTGGTTCCTTCCCCCTAATCCCGCGATTCCTGCTATTCCTGCGATTCAATGTGAATCGAGGCGACCTTCTGTTCGACTTTCGTCTTTTTCTTCTCCCTTTTTTTCCTATGCAAATTAAAAATTTGCTGGCTTTGGTCGCTTTCTGCTGGCAGCGACCAAAGTTGAAATAAATTTAATTATTTGCCGGACCCGCAATGCGGTCGCCTCTGCCAGATTGGCATTTATTTTGGTCTTTTGCCTCTTTTTTCAGACGATTGTTGGTGGCTGTTGAGACTTGGATAAGCTGGGCTTAAGAGGGAAATAATGATAAAGTGAATAAGGGAGATATATCTGTATAAATATAAGAGCATAATCCTGCTGTAGAATGGACATTTTAAGGCTTATTGTGAGTTGTATTTTGAGTGTTACTCAGGGTTTTTGTTATAAAATATTACATTAGGTATTAGATTTATTTTCCTTTTAGTGAAGTCAAGTTTCTTAGTTCATGTCATTCCTTTTGTTTAGTTAAATATTTAACATATGAGAGAGTTTATATTTAGATTGTTTACAAGACTCAAAAACCCAATGTCTAATACTAGAATTTTATGTTTAAAATCAGCTCTTAAAAACACCCATTAAATTTTGTAATCAAAAATTTTATTTCCACTCAGCTCGGTACACATCCTTTGTATGATATTGGTCTTCATGTAGTCCGCATAATGAGCAACTTGAACTGCATTTCCGCCGACAAACTCATCGCTTCTGAAAAGTCAAACTCATTTATTTGGCTTAGGCAAATGCGAATGTACGTTGTGACAAATGACATGCAATTTTCAGGCCCAACAAAAATGCAATTAAAGCAAGCAGTTGGCCAGAGCCAAAGGATAACCAGAAAATAAAAATAAAAGCATCCAAGTGTGAGGGTAGAGGAGCCTTAAAGAGCTCTGAGCCTGGGGAATACATTAGAAACATGGCCGAAAAGTGTGGAGGGGGAGGTTAGGGAAAATGCGACAACTCCAACATGTGGCTGCAGTTTTTCCTTTGACTTTTTTTTGTGCTCCTTTGGACAATGGCTTTGCCAGGATTTTCATGTCAGTCCAAAGCTGAGCCGCAAACAAAGCGCCGGTCAGGCAGGCAAACCAAGTGCGATAAATCCTCGAGAAACACAACACCCGAACAGGCAAATATATATATATATTTGTATATATAACTTAAAAGCACTTAAATATAAAAACCAATTTGCCAGTACCATTTTTCGGGTGGTTTTTATTCCTGCGGTTAAATTGTATTAAAAATCAATTTGCAGCGCCTTCATGGGAATTCGATTTTCTGTGACCGAAAATGCCTCCGAGCTCAATGGGATTTTCCAGAATGCCTGTTGCAAGGCCAACAGCATTTAAGCATTTTCCAACTTTGCAACACCTGCCAAAGAATTTATCAAAAATTCATTTAGCTACGTGCTGAAAATATGCAAAAAGTTTCATATTGGAATTTGAAATTATTTGGCCTGTAAACAGAATATTAAGTATTTAAGAAATAGGAAAGAAAAATTACTTGAGAAGTTCGAAGGAAGGAAACCTGAATTTCATGCGAACCTTAGCACTTGAACTTAGAAGAACAATATATAAATATTAATGTAGCCATTAAATGTCGGTAGATTTCTGAATTAGTTTTAATAATTAATTCCCCTCACCTAAAACACTTTGACATGACCTAATTAACAACATCTCATTAGCTTATGATGGCTTGTAAAAAGAGTAATTTATAAATTTCGTATTCAAACAAGAGCTGTCAAAGTCTAAAAAACAGTATATGTCATGCTTTAATTTCCCTACCATAAAAACATAACTTTAGTTAATGTATAAATCAGAAAAACTCAAAAATTAGCAAATAAAAAAAGCCTTTTAAATAAAAGCAATTATCAGGCCCGAGACGAACAGTGATTTAAATTAATTACAAAATATACATACATATTATTAAATGCATATAAATGAAATCTGTTGCAGTCACATTAAGGAAATATATATATGAAGATATGACAAATATACAGATATTAATATATATGTATTCAAACGATGATGGAAATTGATAGCCATGGGTCACCGATGGAACCGCAAACAGAACCACAAACAGGCCAAAAGACGAAAGCCCGGCACCGCCTATCAGTACCACATTTTACAGGACCTCCTGCTGCTGGTCCACCTCCATCACCACCTCCTCCTCCTTCTCCTAGCCACGCCCCCATCCTGACCAGCATTGTGGCCATTTGTCGGCGGATTGGCCAGCGCCCATGAACAATGCAAATTGAATTCCAATGACGAGCTATCATTGATGCGTGGCTGAAATTTGCAATTCGTGTTTTGTCGCTCGGCCGGAAACAATCACAGAGCCAAATAGCAATAACATAAAAAAAAATAAGGACTTCTGACGGACAACGACAATTACACCAGACATTTAAAGCTTTGCCCGAGGGGAAAGGACATTTCAAAAACATGGTTTGCCCATAGGAAAATATATATAAAAGTTAAGAGGGAGTTTCGGTTCCTATAAATATGTTTAAATTATTAATTAAGCTAAATAAAATATGAAAACATGAAAATAATACTATTAACACTTTAAACAAAAAATGTATAATTTGTATACAAACTTTTAAT